CAATGGCCCCCCCTGTCCTGAGAAGCAATTTTGTATTTAGATTCATAGGGGAATCCATAACCTTACGTTCATTCATACCTGTTTTTTCTAACATATCAAGAACATACTTTCTCTGAAATAGGATAACATCATTCTTCGATTGGATAATCTCAATTCTTAAGAAGTACCATAGTAGTCCCAAGTCTTTGGTTTGGAAATGATTGTGCAAATGCTCATTTAACTTTGTAATACCATCCATATCATCTCTAGTGATGACAATATCATCAACATAAACAATTAAGTTAACGCATCGCCTTTCTTAATTATGCTTGAAAAATACGGTATAATCAGACGAATATTGTGTCATACCAAATTCTTTAATAGCAAGATTGAAACGTCCAAACTACGCCCGTAGAGATTGTTTCAAGCCATAGAGTGAACGAAGAAGGCGACACACAAGACTAGACTCCCCCTCAGCAACAAAACCAGGAGGTTGCTCCATATATACTTCTTCTTTAAGCTCACTTGCAAAAAGACATTTTTAATGTCAAGCCGATAAAGGAGCCAACCACGCATTGTTGCCATCGAAAGAAAAAGACGAACAAAAGACAATTTGGCAATGGGAGAGAAGGTTTTTGAATAATCCTCTCCATACATTTGACTAAAGCCCTTTGCAACAAGTCGAGCTTTAAGTCGATCAATGCGACCATCAGGTCCAACTTTGATTGTATAAACCCATCAACAAGCTACGGTTGTCTTTCCTGGCGGTAACGGAACCAACTCGCAAGTATATTAGCATGCAAAGTAGACATTTCCTACATCATAGCCTGACACCACCCTGAATGACCCAAAGCCTCACGCCATAGTAATAGATTCTAAAGCAGTCACAACACTTCACATGGAATGAATAAATGGTGATAACTAGAAAATTATAAATAAGATTCGGATTACGAGTGGACCGTGTACCACGACGTGAGATGATAGGTGACTGAGGAACCGCAACCGGGGAAGGCGATGGAACCGGAGATGAGTCATCAATAGGCGTACGTGAAAGTAGAGTATGTATGTTCTGCGTTGCCATGTATGACGGCTATAAACTTGAAGTGAAGGCTTAGGAATGGGGATAACTGGAAGAGGAGTCACATGTATTAAGGATGAAGATGATGACACTATAAAGTATAGTAATGAGTCAAAGAACGTGACATCTGCACTAAGGTAATATCGACGAGTGAGAGGAGAATAACATCTATATCGTTTTTTAACTCGCAAGTACCCAAGGAAAACATATTTTGATGGATCAATGACGTAATTTGTCCAATCCAGGGGAATGGTCATGAACAAAGCACGTACAACCAAATACACGGAGAGGTAAAAGGTACAGGGACACATTAGGCTGAAAACATGTTATGAGAATCTTATGTCCTAAGATAGCATATGGAAGGCGATTGATGAGGATACATGTTGTAAGAATAGAATCAGCCCAAAAATGGAATGGGACATTATGTATGAGTAGAGTGTGAGTTGTTTCTATTAGATGACGGTTTTTGCGCTCAGTCACTCCATTTTGTTAGGGAGTGGAAGGACACGATGACTGATGAATAATTCTTTCAAATGAGACAAAATCACTAAATCAGTGAGCTCTTTACCATTATCACTTCTTAAAACCTTGATAGATGTATGAAATTGTGTATGAATTTCAGCTTCAGCACAACTTTTTGAATATAGAGAGTAATTCAAATCGATTTTTCATTAAATAAACCCAAGTATATCGAGAAAAATCACTAATAAACATTACAAAATATTGAAAACCAAGGGTTGAACTAGTACGATAAGGGCCCCAAATATCAGAGTGAACCAGTGCAAAGGGTTTAAATGCTCGACTATCGACGCGCTTGGGAAAGGAAGTACGAGACTGCTTTTCAAGCTCACATGACTCACATGGTAACGAACATAGTGACGAAAAATTAGAAAAAAAATGCTTTAATTTAGACAGATTGGGATGACCTAATCGTTGGTGGAATAATTCGGGAGACTCAATAGATGATATAGCAATGGTAGAGGTATTGTGAGAGGACTCGTTTAGGTAATATAACCCATGAGACTCACATCCGGTACCAATCGTCTGCCCCGTACTGCAATCCTGAATAACAAGATAATCACTAGTTAGTAAGAAATGAACAATCTAGATCTCTACTGAGACGACTAACAGATATGAGATTAAATGGACTTTGAGGGACATAAAGAACAAAATAAAGAGGTAAATTAGGTGACGGACAGGCTCTACCAACAGCTTGAGGGTAAACTTTATCACAATTAGCAAGAATAACATGAGTTGGTGAATTTGATGGATGAAAGGTAGAAAATAAGGAGGGATTACCAAATACATGATCAGTTGCATCTGAATTTAGGACCCATGGACCAAGAGAAGTCTGAGAGACGTCAATGACGGGAGTACGGATATCAGGTGAGTCGGCAGTACTAATGGAGGATGACTACTGAGATGCTTGATACTGAAGGATTGTAGCATAATCTGCTCCACGTAAGGTAATACTGTCAAATGAATTTTCAGGTGAATCAGTAGTAACAAAATCTGTCGAGCGAGAGGGTTGTCCATGTAATTTGAAGCAACGTTCTCGTGTATGGCCCATCTTATGACAATAACTACATTGTGGACGACATCCACTGCGATCTTGACTTCTTCACTCACCACGATCTTTATCACGATTACCGGAGCTAGGATTTTGAGATACCAAGGCTGAACTATCAGGAGTATTAGTATATGGTAGCCACAAAGGTGTTGCTGCTAGAGGAGAGTCGTACTAGTTGAACAAGAACATCATCCAGCGTGAGTACAGTGGCACCTCCTAGTATCTGGTCTCGAACATGATCAAGTTCAGGCTTAAGGTGAAAAAGCTCTAATATGACAAAGAATTTGTCCCAAGTAGCCTCTGGATTTGCAGAATTTGTAGAATTTAAGGAACGAAACTCCTGTCGAATAGCTTCCAGTTTACTCACATTAATAGGAAGTCAAGCGTGTGATCTTTAAGCAAAACAAGACTGAAGACTACATCATAGTAGCACTTTATATCATTGATGTAAATGGAAGCAGCCTTATTCCAAACTTGATAACATATCTTAAATGACTGATACGTGGGAAGTATGGTTGGATACAAAGAACTCCACCGTAAGGCACATAATTGGGCATCAAATTAAAGTTTTCTGTAATTTATGACTCTCTCTTTGCAAGTTGGTCAGATTGCCCTTGTCCTTTAAACCAAAGTCGTATAGATACAGCCCATGAATTATAATTAGATGCACCTCGTAATTTATCGGCAGTAATAGGTTGAAAATTTTGAATTTTGAATGGATCAGCCATAGAAACAGCACCAAAAAAGCTCCCTGAGAAAAAATCTGGTGGACAGCTGGCGGCGCGTGGCGGCGGCGGCGGCGTGTATGTCTCACGCAAAGCGGCGACGGAAGGCGACACTACCCGAGGCGTTTTCAGGAAAGGAACTGTAATACCTCCAGAGTTGGGCCGGTGCTAGGCTAACTCCTGAGTATGAATAAGCCGGTATTAGGCCATCCAAGGTTGAATATAAGTTAAATGGATTGAATAGACTACTCTTGTCAACAATGTGCACATTCATTCTCGGAAACCCTACTGAAAGAACTCTAAAGTTAAGTGTGGGGGACCAGACTAGTGACGGGCCTAGCAGTTGATGATCCTTGGGGTGCAACGTGGACGTTACATTCTTAAGCGGGGGAGGATGTAATCCCGCGGAGTTGGGCCGGTGCTAGGCCAACTTCTGAGTATGGATGAGCCAGTGTTAGGCGTCATCTAAGGTTGAATATAAGTTAAATGGATTGAATGGATTACTCATGTCAACAAGGGAGTCCTAATAAAAGAAATCTAGAGTTAAACGTGCTTGCTCTAGAGTAATTTGAGATAGGACCCCTTAGGAAGTCTCCTAGGGTGCGTATGAGTGAGGACAGAAGCGTGCTCGAAGTACGTGTTGATCTGTAAGACCAATTTACGATCCCGACATGCTCGGCTTCGCGTGGTTTGCGAGCCGGGGTGTCACAAGAATGCACTGGTGAGGCGCGTGTCTAAAAAATAACTCAAATTGCTGGAACTAGCGGTGGTGATTGGAAACTAAGCCCTAATTTTTACCTAATCCCTAGTTGGTTCAGATACTATGTAGAGAAATAGAGGGAAAATAAAGTAATGAAGAGTACATATATAGTAAATTAGAAAATCTATCATAACTAACTAAATTATGGATATAGATAAAATATGCATAAGATATGAATATGGATATGGATATGGATATAGATATACATATGGATATGATTTTAATAAATTTAACAAAATTTCATCAATTATGGTAAGTTGCATTGATTTGGAATTATTCCATCTTTAAATACTCAAGATATGATACGTTGGCTTGCCTTGTGAAGACATCATATTTTATTTTTTCCAAAATTTGAGAACTTAATCCACTTGATTCAAGTTAATGTTTCCATAATTCGAACCTTTCATAAATGATGAAATCTAAACTCTTAGTCATGGACATAACTAAGCTAAGCTGCATCTTTTTCCTTTCTTTCTTTCATGCTAACTTTGAATTTCACCTAATTTCGAAGTACTATTTTCATAATCCGAACCTTCCATAAGTGATGAAATCCGAATTCTTAATTGTAGGCATGACTAAGCACCGTCTTTTCTTCTGTTTTCTTTTTTTTCCTTTCTTTGCATGTTCACTTTGAATTTCACCCAAAATATTACAAAATTTGTAGAAATCTATCCAAATCATAAATAAATACATATCAGCTATGCATGTAAAATGTAATCTATCAATATATATGAAGATAGTAGATGATTTCCACCTATCTCCTTGTTTCTTTGTGAATATCAAGTTAACTTATCTTCATGAATTTCATCTTAATCTCTCCTTGAAGCATTTATTTACTTGCAATTCAAAGTTACTGATGGTTTTAGGCATAAACTTTGTTGCTCTCAGGTGAATTGAAATGTGATGGAAGCGAGCAACTCATCTATTCTCTTAATCAGAAAATCATTACTTTCTGTGATTGGTTATTGGATGTATTAACTACTGGAAATGTAGAGACCATCTTCCCTGCTGCTGCAAGTGAATATGCAGCTGTCATTTTTGAAATTTGGAGCAATCCTGTCATACAGGAAATCTACAGTACAATGGAGGAGTTACACCATATTTCGGATGCTGCTAAATATTTCCTAGACCGGGTACTGTTGTGTTAACATGTATTGTGTGGGTTTCTGGCTCATTGCTATACTTTGTCTTTGATATGCATATCCATAATATCTTCATATAAAAGCTTTGTTATTTTGGAGTTGGTGAATGGCGGCACACTATTTCCTTTTTGTTTGGAAAATTGTATCTATATGTATATATCAGCCCTAGGTATACGGATTGAGCACATCTCCATACTAAATGAAATTGCTCTACATTTTAACAAATATATAAATTAATGTTCAGTCTACAATTTTTTATTAAGTGCTAATTTTTAATTACAGTTATCATTTATTTTTACTTACGCTACATGTTGGTATTATTACACTTTGACAAGTGATTTCTTTCCTTAATTTTTCTGTACTCATCTTTTATCCATCTACCTTACTGTATTCAACTGTGACATTTAAACTTGCAGGTCATTGAGATCTCGAGCTCTGAATATGAACCTTCTGAGAACGACATATTACTTGCTGAAGGCATATACCCCAAAAATGGTCTTGCATGCATTGAATTCTCATTAGATAGTTGCAGTTCAATGTCCAAGATATACAAAGAACTGAATTTGTCTAAGAATTCCTATCCAGAACGGTATTTGTTTTGAATTTTATATTGAAACCATAACTTCCAGTGGGATAAGTACTTTGATATGGGACCTGCCTTAGCCTTTATTTTTTTGTCTAAACACAATCATTCTTCCTGACTCGGTATTCTCCTCAGGTACAAATTGCTAAGGTTGGGCTCCAAAGGTGGCTTCAAATGGTTAGAAATGTTTGGCGGGATGGGTGCTGTGGTCTTCTGTGTTGCTTTAAGTGACTATGATGAGGTCACTACATGTCTTGCAGAAAACAAAATGCTGGAAAGCCGAGATTACTTTGAGAATGTTGTGCGAAATTCTTGCTTTGATAGCTCTCCCGTTCTTCTGTTATTGACCAAATACGATATATTCGAGGAGAAAGTTAGGCAAGTCCGCTTAACTGTTTGTGAGTGGTTTAGGGATTTCGATCCATGCCCTTGCGCTTCAAAATCTCATAACAAATTACACAGCTCCTCCTCCTCCTCTTCCCTGGCGCAGCAGGCATTTCATTACATTGCCATGAAGTTCAAGGAGCTGTACAGCTCCATCACAGGGAGAAAGCTGTATGTTTACCCGGTCCGAGGGCGTGAAAGAGGATCAGTAGATGAAATGTTTAGGTACCTGAGGGAGATTCTAATGTGGGATGAACATGGAGACATTTATAACATGACTGAAGAATCAGATTGATTCGGTGTTCTGTTGCGCAAATTAAAGGAGTTAACATTTCCAGGAACAAGGCCTCTTCTGCCAAATACAAAGTGAGCTTCAGATCTACATCTACCTTCTTTATTTATATTCTCTTGGATTCCCTAACTGTGTTATTGTTCAGTCATTTGAACAGAGAAATTTCCTGTCATATAGAGAAAAGCAGAATAGGTTTGTTCCAAATTGAATTCAGTAGTTGATTAGATATCTCATCAATGGTAATAATTAATCAGTTAAACTAAGCATCCTCTAGAGGTCTTAATTTACACTATAGTAGTACTTGAGAATCAAGTTATAGTTGAGTTGGTTTGTCTCATTGCACGACAGAGAGAGACCTGGAGGTAAGAAAGCAAATCAAGGTCTGCTAAAATGCATGCATATATAGTGGGAAAGCACTGTGAATGCATTTACTGCAACTTATATTGTATGTTTAGATTTTATACAATCAGCTCTTGTCTCATCAATCATCCTTCCAATCTAGTTGAATGCATTTTATGCTTGAGATCTCCTTTTTCATTTTCAGTGCCTTATTATTCCTTTCATTTCTGTCTAAGTTATTTGGGACTTAAAACTCTACGATCACTGTTTCTTTCTATATTGCCATGCTGAAAAAGCTTTTGGTTACAAAGTAATTGTGTTGTTAGATATATAGAGCCTGTTACCACAAAGAATTTAATCTCCTGGACCTATCAAATAGTTTAGGCGTTTAGGCATTTCAGTGTTAACCATCTCCCTAAAAGCCACTCGAGTGTGTGAGTTAATAAAAATAATAGATTTAGAAGAAAATAAATATGAGGCATAAGGGAGACCTATCTTACCTGGAAAAATATTAATTGATTTTAGATAAGATTTTAGTTCCCGAAACTGATTAAGATTTTAAAGTCTATTATGCTAGAACTTTTGATTTAAGATATTAACTGATAAAAATACAAGAGTTGGTTTTAGAAAATACTGTAATTTCGGTCTCAACAAATACTCTGGTTCAAAGGAAATTTTTTTCCTTTTCCTTTGTTCCAACAAATACTCCGATTCCGAGGAAATATTTTGAGCCTTGGTTCTGACAAATATTTTGGTTCGAGAAAAATATTTAGGCCTTGATTCCAATAAATATTTTTGGTTTCAAAGAAATATTTTGGCTTTGGTCTCAACATGTGATACCTGAGTTTCTCACTACTCATTGGCCAATATATATTTCATATTTTAAGTACTGGTAAATTACTTATATGTTAATTTGTGGTAGTTTAAATATACTTCATGAGTTGCATATATTAGTTTACTTGAGTATTAATTGTTTAATTATATGTTATGTATGTATTATTTATGTGTTAATTTATAATTAGTTGAGTATAATCATACTTTGAGTGCACTTTATATTATTTATATATCACTGGTGATGTTAGGTTATTTATTTTACTATTGAATGTTAAATTGTTTATAATTTGGTATATATTTTACCTTTTTATTCATAAGAAAATATTATCATAATTTATCTGAGATTTTAATAGGATACAAATAGATTGGGTAAATTATTTGGATATTAATGGGGTAAGTTAAATATAGATCACTTGAAAATTTATTGTAGTAATTAAATAAAAAGTAAAATAAATAGAATAATTAAATAAATAAATAATAATAATAATAATAATAATAAAATAAATAAATACACCACGTCAAACAAATCATTTTCACAATTGCAAAAGAACAGGGAGAAAGGCAACGCGAAGAAAAAAAAAAAAAAACTTTTTACGCCAAATTCGTTAAAGGCCTAATTCGGGTATTTTTTCGTATTCACAAATTATTGCTATTTTTACTAAGTAGAGGAAGTTTTGAGTAGAAATAATTATTTAGTAAATTGGGGTAATATTTGTAATTAATTGTTAGATACGATACTGAAATCGTGAAAAGGGCTTTAAGAGTTAGAGTTATTGACGTTTTTGGCGAATTTCGGGTAAGTAGAAATTCATTTGCAACTACAATGCATAAATATATTATTTTGTGAGTTATTTATGTTTGATAACATATGAATATCAGAAAACTGTAATATGTGATTAATATTATCTAATTATGTGATTTGAGTCTGCGAGCTCCGTATATAAATTGGTTTAAGCTTGTGAGCTCTGTATGTGATATGGTTCAGCTTGTGAACTCTATATTTGATGTTGAAAGAGTTTGTGAGCTCCAAAATTGATGTGGTTTGAATCAATGAGTTCAATAATATCTGTATATTGTGAAATATATTGCATTGCATTTTCATTAAGCATTCATATCATGCATTGAAATGAAATAAGATGGTTTTACTACGTTAGATCGCTGACTATACACCGAGGGCGGGATATGCGACTTGACAAGAAGCGACCTGGGGAAACCTGGTGTAGGCTACCTGTGTAGGCCATCGTCTATTGTGACTTTACATACAATGTATAAACAATGCATTCGGAAGAGGCGACCTGGGAAGAAGTGACCCGAGGAAACCTTGCGTGGAAACCTGGTGTAGGCTACCTGGTGTAGGCCACCGTTTGATTTGAGTATGTGGATATTGAGCTCTTTCCGGTGTATAATAGTGTGTCTAGGGGCCTTGGAGAGTATTTCATAAATAAATTGGTGATTTCAAACGAGAGCACATTCTGCATAGTGAGAATTTTGAGATAAACTTCACATCATGTATAATTTCTACTTACGGAGATTTATAAATCTCACTCAGTTTATGCATTGTAGGTAATCCTGATGATATATGACGTGATGGTCAGACTGGAGTAGCCGTGGCACTCTTACATGCATTTTGAGTTACCGTGTACATAGATGACGACCTGCGGGCAGGACCGTGGCTTGTTTTGCTTCTGTTGTTCTATATTACGTATGTTTTAGAAGTTATATGGTGTTGTTATAAATAGTATGTTGATTGTGTTTTTGGTGAATGTTAACAGGCTACTGTTGAGTTATGTTATGTTTTGCTGAGAAAAAAAAATTATAGCAGGTGAACAGGTTGTTATATATGTAAGTAATTAAGAGAGATTATAACATGTTTATTATTTTCTTATATGTGAATTGGTATTAGTAGTATAGTGTAAGTGTGGTCGTGTCAGAGTGGTATCAGAGCACGGTTAGCTTCCTGTAGACTGTCTATGTACACGAGCTTAGAACTTAGAGAGAGCCCGGCTACACCCAGTAAGTGTTTATTTAAATTTTGTTTATATTTGTGTATCATGAATTATATTAACTTTAGACTTTACTTTATAATGAATTGCTGGTTATTAAATGATTTTATAATGAAGGGCGATTGGTTTCCATGTTACGTGCTCTTCTGTGTTTCAAAATTAATGAAGATGATATGTGGTAAAATGATTTCTACTACCGTACTTCTACATAATGCTACTGTTACTAAAATTCTATTGTTTGATCGCCGCTATTGAGCCGCTGACTGCAGCAGTGTGTGCTCGTGAGCATGTGTGATCGTGCATGTGTATTGAGGTACAATATATGTGTGGTAGTCATGGTACTTGTGAGTTTAGGTCTGTGTTTAAAGTTTGGATAGAAGCAGTTTTAATCATCTTATATATGGTATACTGTGAATAATATGAATGTGAAACGAATTGGGTACATGTTTAGTAGGCTAGAGTCAAGTTATTTTTTGTTCCTACATTATATGTACTATAAATTATATTGGCCATGTGGTGCAGGACGGGTGGTATTGTTGAATAGATATGGTGAGAAAACAGGGTAAAAGTAGTGGTATGGAAAGAACGCCTGAGCAGACATCACCGATTGCTGGTATTGATCGGGATACTGTTATAGCTCGGCTAACAGATTTAGTTGAACGCCAGACACAACAAATTCAACAGCTTATTGAACAAAGAAATGCGGACAACCAGCGTACTGATGTGAATCAACCACAACCGCGAACAGAGCCTGTTGAGTTGGGGTGCGAGCGATTCCGTAAACTGAATCCACCAATCTTTGAAGATGCTACAGATCCTTTGCCTGCTGAAGACTGGTTGAGAACTTTAACAATATGTTCCAATACAGTAGAATTCCAGATACAGAGAAGATTTTGTGTGCTTCCTTCATGTTACATGGTAGTGCGGGACACTGGTGGGACACTGTCAAAAGTATCGAAGATGTTGCTGTAATGACCTGGGAAAGGTTCAAGAAGATTTTCAGAAATAAATACTTCACTGCTCCAGTCAGAATCATGAAGATGAATGAATTCATACAGTTGAAACAGGGAACCATGACTGTTACAGACTACCTTTGTAAATTAGAGCAGTTATGTAGGTTTGCGGAACACATGGTTAGTACTGAAGCATTAAAAGTGGAGAGATTCCTAAAAGGCTTGAGACTTGAGCTTTATACAGATGTGAGTATGGCGTGAACTCAATGAATGACTTATGCACAAGTTGCAGAGAGAGCACAAACTGCTAAAGAAGCTGAGATACAAATAAAACATGCACAAGAGATGAGACGTCATTTTCAGCAGCGGCAAGCACCACATTGGGGTGGAAATAATAGAAAAAGGGCATGGCAACCTCAATCATCACGACCATTCCAACCCCGACAAGGACAGAGACCTGAACAAGGAGGACCAGATAAACGTCCCAGGGTGGAGCAAAGAGGAGTACCACTACCGTCGCCACCACCACCACGACCTCTTTATCGAACTTGTGGTAGATCACATTTTGGGATTTTTCGTAATGAACCGAAAACTTGTTCTTCTTGCGGACAAAGGGGGCATATGACTAGTATGTGTCCGAGAGCACAAAAGGACCAAGGGAGAGTACCAGCACGAGTTTTTACGATGACAAAAAAAGATGCAGAAGAAAATCCAGTTGTCACCGGTAAGCTTTCTATCTTCGGTACTTCGACTAGTAATGAACCGAAAACTTGTTCTTCTTGCGGACAAATGGGGCATATGACTAGTATGTGTCCGAGAGCACAAAAGGACCAAGGGAGAGTAACAGCGCGAGTTTTTACGATGACAAAAAAAGATGCAGAAGAAAATCCAGTTGTCACCGGTAAGCTTTCTATCTTCGGTACTTCGACTTATGTGTTATTTGATTCTGGGGCTACACATTCTTTTGCATCCACTGAGTATGTTAGAAAACTGGGTAGAACACCTAACTTAACTGAGGCTAAATTCAATGTGATGATTCCTTTCAGTGATACAAAACAAACGAATCAAATCCTGCGAGGATGTGTTATTCCTATATGTTCTGTTTGTATTAGTTATGTGTTAATTTATAATTAGTTGAGTATAATTCATACTTTAAGTGGACTTTATATAATTTATATGTCACTGGTGATATTAGATTATTTATTTTACTATTGAATGTTAAATTGTTTATAATTTGGTATATGTTTTACCTGTTTATTAATAAGAAAATATTATCATAATTAATCTGAGATTTTAGTAGAATACAAATAGATTGGGTAAATTATTTGGATATTAATGGTGTAAATTAAATATAGATC